AAGCGAGGACAATGAGAAGATGTGCTGAGGCATATCAGCCGGAGCTTTTGCAACTTTCGGTTGGAGCTCCATGGGATCATCAGCTAAAGGCTTTGAGGTTTAAGAAGAAGAGAATTGTGCCTATTGATGATGGGCCAGGACTGCCAAGATTGGCGGTGGAAACAGACAAAAGAGTAGAAGAGGAAAAGAGAAGCGAACCTTCGCCGCCTAGCGATCGCCAAGGAATTTCAAGTTCTTCGAGTAAGAGTTCGTCGCTGTCGGGAGCAACGCCCGAAGGAGAACCAATGGACGATGAAAGCGATGATGATGACGACGATCCAGGAGAAGTGAGAACAAAGAGAAAAGCGGAAGATGAATTGGTGCCCGATGAAATGACGTTAGAAGAGTTTCAAAGAGAGGTTGCAAAGAGGAATGCAGAAGAAGAAGGAGAAGGGTCACCGAAGAAAGGACCAAGAGTAGACGAAGGAACTGGAGAGGTAGAAGAAAGAGTTGAAAAGGTGCCAAGACTTGGAGACGAAGCACGAGGAAGTGCGGCGCGAGTGGAATACCACATTCGGAGATTCGCCAAGAGCGAGGATCCCGAAGAGCATGGAGATGAGTATGTTGATCTCGACGAGACACAGCTGTTTCTGGAAGAAAGTCGAGAGTTCCAGAGCAAGTGGAACGAGAAGGTGTGTGAGACAGAAGAGGACCTAACGGTTACTTGGTTTCACGAGTATGATGATGGGCCACCAAAGTTGGAAGCTGAAGATCTGGAGAAGGTGGACCTGAAAGCGGAGAAAACAGAAATAGAGAGACTGTTGGAGATGAAAGTTCTCAAAGAAGTGGAACTGGATGAGAATGGAGAGTTGAAGAAAGGACCGAGTGGAGAAGAACCAAAGAGACTCAGTACAAAGTACGTGTTGGATTGGAGGCATAGGGACCTCCAATGAAAGAGGCGAGCCCGCCTAGTGGCGCGGGAATACAAGTGGCTGACAGATTATGATCTCTCAGCGCTATACTCACCAACGAGTATTGGTTCGAGTATCAAGCTGTTGTCAGCTTTGTGTGCGAGTTCAAGAGACTACGAGATGATCTCGATAGACATTTCGGACGCGTACCTTCAGGTGCCGCAGAAGGAGTACACGGTTGTGAGTTTAGGAGGAAAGTGGTACCAGTTGCAGTACACCCTGCCGGGACAACGAACAGGAAGCAGTGACTGGTTTGAGCATCTACGTGAAATCCTGGAGAAAGAGAAGATGGTTTCCGATGTGGGATTGCCAAGTTTCTTCTACAAGTTTTCGGAGATACCAGGAGAAGGTGGAACGCTTATGAGTACCCATGTGGATGATTTGGAAGTGTTTGGAAAACCAAAAGAGAACCAAGCAGTGGTGGATTTACTGCTGAAGCACAAGCTGAAGATAAAGCTGGAAGGTCCAGTGAAGGTTGGAGAAGGAAGTGTACTTTCTTGAAGAGGACGTTCTTAGGAACGAAAGAAGGAATTGAGATCAGGATGGACGGTAAGTATCTTGAGAAGTTGGAAGAGATTTTAGGTTTGGGAAAAGCCCTGCCAAAGAAGTTGCCGTTTCCAATGGATTACGGAAGATCGTTGAAGGACGACACGCCCTTGGATGCAGATGAACATCATCTGTACAGATCCTGTGTGGGAATCCTATTGTATATGACACCGGAGAGACCTGATTTGGGATTCGCTACGAAGTGGTTGTCAGGGAAGTTGGCAGCGCCAACGCGAGGAGACTTAGCAGTGCTTAGGCACGTGGCAAAGTACGTGAAAGCGACAGCCCACTACGTGATAGAACACAAAGAGGCATATCCTGGAAAGAGTTTTCTGGATCCAAGTGATAAGAGAACTGAGAATGCCTACAAAGATGTTTTTACGGCAAAGAGTTTGATCGAGGTAGTGACCGACGCCGACTGGGCGACCGATCGTGAGAATAGGCAGTCAACGAGCTGCGTGTTGATTTTCGTGAACAGTAACATCGTTTACTTTCACGCGAGAAAGCAAAAAGCGACGGCTTTGAGGCTTTGAGCAGCTGCGAAAGCGAACTGGTGGCAGCTGTTGGAGGTCTGAGTGAAGGAGTTTTTCTACAGAACCTGTTGCACAGAGTTCTAGGGATTAGGCCGGAGATGGTGATTAGGATGGATTCTGGCAGTGCTAGGTCTATTCTTCTGAAGAAAGGCTTAGGAAGAACGAGGCACATTGATGCAGGACTGCTTTGGGTTCAAAGGCTTACTTCTGTAGGTCTTCAAGTGAAAGCGATAGCTGGAAAAGAGAACCCTGCAGATGTAGGGACAAAGGCTTTGTCACGGAACGCTGTTGTGAAGTGTTTGGAGAGAATCGGTGTGAAAACTGGAGAAGAGCGTGAAGAGGTCAGGATAGCAAGTGACTTCAAGATCCCTACGAAGTATCTGAGAAGACTGGTGATGATGATGATGGTTCAGCAATGTGATGGACTAAGAGAGCAAAGCAGTAGAAGCAGTGAAGGTGGAAGCTTTGGTTTGGTGATGATGGTGATGATGATGACAATGGTTGTTATCTTGGTTTGCAACGGTAGCCTGTGGAAGAGTCTGGTTGGAAGTGCTGAATGCATGTTTTGTTCCGCCGCTGCCGTTTTTAACTCAAGGAAGGAAGTGAGAAGGAAAGAAGTGAGGAGAAAAGAAGTGAGGAGAAAAGAAGTAGAAAGAAAAAGAGAATTGAAAAGGATGGCCGACGACGCGGCCCTCAAGACAATGATCAAGGACGAATGCCGAAGCATAGAGTCCGTCACCCTCTGCGAAAGAGAGCTCAAAAAGGAACGCGAGAGGAGGTTAACCCTCGAAGCCCTATGGCCCGAAGTGCAACGCCTCAACCAACAGTTTGCACCTAAAGAGGCAGCCCCGCCAGAAGCTGCAACGGCGGAGGTTAAAGTGCCTGAAGAGTTCAAGAAAACAGCCGAGGAATTGGCTGTAGAGGCACAGGGCAGCAAAGGAAGTGCCGAGGAAAGCCAGGCACGGGTTATGGAAGATAGAGTAAGTGAACTGAGGCAGAAGGCCTTGGATGCTTCCGAGAGGCGAAGGGGCCAGAAGGAAAGGGCAAACGATGCCGCAGATAAAGCAAAGGAAGCAAAAGAGGAAGAAGAGAAAAAGAAAGAGAAAGAAGAAGAGGAGCATGAAGCCTCTGAGAGCGAGGAGAAAGTGAGCTCGGAGAAAGAAGAGGAGGAGCAAAGCTCCGAAAAGGAGGAAGAGAAAAAGAGAGGCGAGAAGAGAAAGAGAAAAGACTCTGAGTCAAGTGACGATGAGTACAAAGAGATTATGGACAAGCTGGCAAAGAAGTCAGTGCTGGAGGAGGAAAAGAGAGTGCAGGACCTGCTTGGGCAGATGAGGGTTCTGCAGGAGAAAGTGGATGAAAAGAGAAAGAAATTCGCCATTTATGGTGATTTGTATACTTACAAACAGAAACAGAAAAAGCTCAAGGAGGACGAAAGAGACAGATTGATTGCAAAAGAGATAGAAGTGAAGGAGGAGCTGAAGCGGGTAGCGGACGAAGCGTTCGTTGCCAAGGAGTCCATAGAGAAACAACTGGACAAACTGAGAGCCGAAGAAGAGGAACAAGAAATGGAGGCTACATTGATAATGGACGAAGAGTCCGCCCTGCAGAAAGAGATGGACCGATTGAGACCGAAACTCCATGCTGCACTGGAGGAGTTGAAAGCAAAAAGGAAGGAACTACAGGTTCCAGAGGGTGGACTGCTTCAAGGCGAAGCTGAGCAAAAGCTGGAAGAGATGGAGCGCAAGAGGATCAAAGAGATTCAAGAGCTCCAAGAGGCAAAAGAAAGAGAGATTAAAGAAGAGATAGACAAGAAGGAAAAAGAAATCACAGAGCTGAAGGAGGCAAAGGACAAAGAGATTGGAGAACTTAATGAAGAAGTTCGAAAACTGAGGAAGCGCAAAAGCAGTGCTGGGTCAACGCAAGGCCAGCAAAACGAGGAAGCAGAGAAGATGAAAGAGGAGCGCCGGAAAATGCGCGAGACCATAAAGGAACTGGGCAAGAACAACAAGGCCTTCGAAGATGAGCTCCAAGCGCTTAAAGAGGAAGGAAAAATCAACGAGGATCCTGATGCGCAAAGCCAGGCAATGGTATGCGCAGTATGTTCGCGTTTCGGACATGGTTCCGAAACGTGCTGGGACGCGGACTACAACTATACTGCCTCAGGGCAGTATGCTCCAAAGATGCAACGAGATGAAATGAGCAAGGAGCAGTTCCAGTCCTGGTACAAGAGAAATGAGTTGATAATCCGAAGGGCATACGCGAACAGGTTGGAGACGAATAAGAAAAAGTACCGCACTGACAATGCGGAAAAGGGCAAGGGCAAGAAGGCCCAGCAAAAGAGCAGCTAAAGGAAAAGAGGTGAAAAGAAAAGAAAGGAAGACCAAACCGGAGGTCTATAAAGAAAAAGGGAAATCTGAAGGCTGTAAGGCCGAGAGGGGGAACTTCGTTCCCAAACGAGGAAAGAGTTTTCTGAAAGCTGTACGACAGCTGCACCACGAGAAGCCGAAGAGTTTCTCTACGAGGAGAGTTTAAAGAGTTTAAAGAGTTTTGTGGCTGCGGCCACCACGAGTTCTTTTTTGGCTGGGAAAAGCCAAAGAAGTGAACGAGTTTGAGAGCGGCCAGTAGGAGTAGCTCTGTTTCACTCGTCTCACAACACGACAAAACGCAGTGCACAACGAGTGTTTCAAAAGGAGGAGTGAGCGACTGTTTTGGGTTCGTAGCACCTCTAGAAAGGAAAAGGCGAAAAGAGGATGCACGAAGAGGGGGTAACAAACATTTCGCTTAGGAGTGTGTTGCCCTGTAATCCTGTAGATGAGCTGTTTGCCACATGATTTTGTATAGTATGGAACAAATGTTCCACTGTGGTGTTTAGGCTCAAGGGACGCACCCAAGACAGCCGTGCGCCCGAGGAAAAGTGAAGTGCGAATATCTGTGTGAAGTGAAAGGGTCCGGAACGTAACCGTAAAGCGTTTTATTTTGCCTTGGTCTTCGCCTTTGCCTTCGGAACCGGCTGGGAAGAATCCCCCGCCCCATCATCCACAGGCACTGCCAAGACAGGAGCAGTCTGCTTGGGCAGAGGCAAAAGGAACTGCTGAAGACGTACATCATACATCATTGCCAAAAACTTAGCATCAAGCGGCGAAACCCCGAGCGAATCCACTTTGAAAGGAGGTGCGGCCTCCCGTGCCAACAGCAGAAAAAGCTCTTTATCCGCGCGCATGCATTGATTCAGACTGACCGGGCTATAACTGGGCGGCGGGGTTGCTGACAAGCAATCCAGCATCTTTTGCACCCACCTCTGGTGCACTTCCCAGGACAGCAAATGACAGCTGTCATATGCTATGCCCCTCCGCATCATGGCCCACTGAAAGCGCAGAGGATCCGAAACATCACAAGTGATAGCCTGGTCACCGGGCCCCACCTTTATGACGTTCTGTTCCACCTGCAACAGGGAGCCTTTATCCTTGCCCATCGCGAGGACCTCAGCTTCCCGCTTTGCACACTTTGACGCCGGTATCCAAGTCAGCACGCCAGATTCGTATTGCTGATTCGCAATATCCAGCAGCTGATGCGAAGGCTCAAGCTCTCCCGAGATCTCCATTCCTGAAAGTCGCCGCTTCTGGAATTCCAGCCTGGCCCGCTTTTCCGGAACAGGAACCTTCCTGGTGTGCGAAGGATCAGAAGGATCGTGGGTAACCATATCCCTATAAGTCTGAACCACGAGAGTCGTGGCCTCAAAGTGCAAATGCCGCAACACTGCGGTTTGCCCCATGGTAGGGGCCACTCCGTACACCTTGACACTGAAATCATCAAACTGAGCTTCCGTAGGCGGCTGCTGCGGCGACCCTATCGCGAAAGCCAAAGTCTTGAAGTTCGTAATGCCTTGCGCCTCCAACTTAGAATGAAGAGCTGCATCCTTCGAAGCTTCAGCACATCTCTGCTTGAAAGCAGCATCGCTTTCGATGATGGTCGACATGCTCAAACCTACGTGGCCTCGCGAAACAAAAGCCTACTAACATGAGCAACGCATTCAATCTACATGCCAGATGCTCAAACCTATTCACATGCACAACATGTGACATGGATCATGTCTCGGGCCTCAGCACTCAAGTCAAATCAATCTCTACCCTTGGTTTTCCAGCAGCTACACAGGAGGCTCACCAAACCTTGTTTGCTGCCACGCTGAAACCTGCAACTGAAAGACTCGCAAGCAAGGCTCACACAAACTTGTTAGCAGCCACGCTCAAACGTTCTTGTTGCAGATCCTACACTTGCTGAAGTCCCAACGGAGGTCCTCTGCGCGTATCTTGACGTGCAGAGCTCCTATGGCCCTTCCGCAGGCAAAAACCTTAGTATAACCGGATGGGGCAAAATGCACCACCCTCGACTTCTCGTGCCTCCACACGTCGTGACCCTCCGGAACATTCACTACCAACTTCGAAAACGGTCCTCCGGCCTCCTCTGGGCAAGAGTCGCTGGAGGACGAATCCGTAGTGACGTGTCCTGTGGCCTCAGCGTCAAGGTCTTCTTCACTCTCGGCCAGGTTAGGAGCAGCATCAGCCGTTTCCAGAGGCGAGAGCATTTCCTGCTCCTCCTTGATCACAACGACCTCCGAGGGCCGCCCCAAGTCAGCTGATTTATCAGCCAAGCGCCCGCTGCGAGTCTCATCTGGAAGGAAGACTCGATCCCTGATCTCCTTGATCATCCGCTCCAAAATCATTAACGGATGGGCCGCAGAATCACGAGAGTAGGTCAGGGCCATACGGTGCGGCGTCGTGTGGTATCCCAGCAACTGTCGGTCCACTATGCTGATTCCCCTCTTTGCTGCATAGCTCAACATGGTACACTTGCAGCTGTGCGATGATAGTTTCCTGTCCGCTTGCTTTGATCCCGATCCCGTCAGAAGGTGCCTCAGCCACCGACCCATCTCCTCAGTGTCGAGCGGCCTGACACTCGGAGCTCCAGACTTGTCCGGAGCCGGCATGACAGGAAATTCCGCTGGGTCTGGAATGTTGAGTTCAGCCCTAGCCAGCTTCCACAACCGAGCCCAGTTAGAGCCAGCAACTCCGAGGCCCGGAGCAACCATAGGAAGAAGATCATGCCTCATGACGCGGCTCCTCATGTTCTTGTGGAAAGCCACCGGACACTCCACATAGGCAAGGTTTTTCTGCTTGTCATAATCATAAATAATTCCCTCTGCATGCATCAAGTCTGTCCACCTTGCTCGCGAATAGACTGAATAGACACACAGCAAAACTGCACCAGCGAATACGCGGTCCCACGGGTCCTGCGCGTTCTCCGGCTTGTCATGCAGAAGGGAGAGCTCATCTACCGTCATAGGCGAAGCCCGGTTCCGAGGCTTCACCTCGCCACGGCATGCATTGCCAAGGCAACGCCTGCTCTTAACACATAGATCCAGCTCCTCGACGCCCAGGACATATCTGCAGAAAACAACTGCTTCATACGTAGCCTTGCGAGAAGATAAGCTGGAGCCACCATCTCTTTCCATACAAAGGAACATATAGAGTAATATCTCTGTTGCAGGGAAAACCAGCTTCTTCCGACGAAGGAAAGATTCATACTTCAAGAGGCTCCTCAACCTCTTGCGAAGTGTACCCGGGGCCTTTGCACCGAGCACATCGTAAGTCATGGCCTTCCTTTCCTCGTCAGTGGAAAGTTCACAAAGCTGATCCCTCACCTGCACACCCTCAGACCATCTGGAAATGAAAACAACCCAAGCCCCCACAGCTTCCAAAAGTTGTCCTTCGCGCTGCTGCTTCCACGAAGTAACCACTCTGTTAACAACGGCCATCTCGAAAATTCTCGTGACTACCCTTCCCGCTCGCTGCGGGTTCTTTGATGGTTGCTCCAAGACGCCCTCCGGGACGCCAGGCTGCAGAGGCCTCTTGAGGAGTAAAAATACTTCCCCAGAAAGGATCCTCCCAGACTTGCTTTACTTGAGGAACCTCCAAAGTTTGGAAAGCTGCAGCCACGGACCTGTCCAAATTTCTAGAGGAATCCGATGAAGAACCTGCGGCGGAAGATGCAGATACCGGACAAACATCGTTAGCCGGGAGGACCTCTGAATTTCCAGAAGACGGAAAAGCACCATCCTCCGACAGATCCACTTTATACCAGTCTCGTTCTGCAGCAGAATTACCAATGGACCAAACATCTTCCTCAAAAAGATCAGGCGAAGAAAATGCCCGATCAAGCAAATTTCCTTCCAAAGCCGAGGCCTCCGGAGCCCCTGCATTACTGCGAACCGCTGCCTGAGAGTCATCGTCAGGGAAGTCAGAAAACAAAGGACGATTCTCCTCAAGCTGCCCCGCAGACCTTCCCTCCACCCCTTTCAACAATAACGTCAAGGGCAGAACATCTTCGGCATCGGGCGGCTCTGTGTCCGATGGCATTATGCGATACCAAAGTAGCGAAGCCGGAGGCGTCGCGTATCTGCGGCGACCAACTGGGACGTAGCGAGCAAAATTGCCCGAATAGCCCTGTTCACCGAGAAGAGATCGAAGAAAAATGAAGGCCCAGAAAGCGCAGAATCAGGCTATTGGTACGCGAAGCCGCAAGCAGATTCGGAAGATCCAATTCTAGAATCTCACTGCGCCAGCCCCTGACCTCTTCTTCCTCCTCCAGAGCAAGAAGAAGGAGGCGTCGATGCGGCACCGGAGGCAGCCCGCGACGGCGCGCCGCCATCACAAGCTACAAGTTTTCCCCGTGCCCATCCTTGAGAGGAAAGTCGCCGGAGCCACACTTCATCTCACTGCCCGGAAAACTTGCACAACGGATTCCTAATTTCAGTTTGAAACAAACATGAAATTTGTGCAAAACTGAATAAGGAGTTCATCCTTTCTGCTTCGGGAAGTTTAAAGGAGTAAACTCCTGGACATCAGAATCGGGCTCGAAGGATAGGGTTCAAAAGCGAACTCCGAACACCCTGGAAAACGTGGAAAGCGTGGAAAAATGAAGCTCCTAGACATCAACATCGGGCTCGTGATCAGGGCGCGCAAAAGCACAACATGGAAAGGATGGAAAAGCTGGAAATGGAGCGCTCGCAGGCCCATTTTTTCCACGCTTTCCACGTTTTCCAGGGTGTTCGGAGTTCGCTTTTGAACCCTAGCATTCGAGCCCCATGTTGATGTCCAGTAGCTTCATTTTTCCACGCTTTCCACGCTTTCCAGGGTGTTTGGAGTTCACTTTTGAACCCTACCCTTCGAGCGCGGTGTTGGTGTTAAGGAGCTTCATTTTTCCACGCTTTCCATGTTGGCTTTTTGGGCCCTCCCAACACCCCCCTGGAAACCCTGGAAAGCGTGGAAATGGTGGAAGTGACCTTCCCGGCATAGGAGCGGGGCACTCGACGTGCAAGACCCCAGACTGGCCTGGAAGCGCAACCATCCGCGAACCTGTGGAGGGGCGAGGGCCCGGGGTTCCCGGGAACAGGGCTGGGGTCGCAGGGCACTCTAGCTTTACGGGATGGGGGAAACAGTGCAGGGCCCTCCTGTGCGCGCACGGAACAACAAACCCCACAATCACAAAGTCCGAAAAAACCCTGAACAGAGGCACCAGCACAGTGACGCAGGTTCGAACCTGAGCGAGGCGAAGGGCTTCAGAGTGACGGAGCTAAGAAAGCACAGAAGCAAACTGCAGCACTCCCACAACACGGCACACAAGGCTTGAAGCTGCGAAACTGTTTGCACGGGCGCGGCAGCGGATCCTGTACGGAGCTGCGCCGAACGCGCAGGCCCTGAGGCCCTGAGGGCACAGCCTGTGCTGCCTGTACTGACCGCTGCGCCAAAAGATCGCCGCGGCTTCAGCCGACGGTCTTACTCCAGAGCTCCCGCAGCCTGGCGATGTTCTCCTGATCAGACTCGACGCGGCCGCCCAGCACCTCGTTCTTCAGAATCCCGTCGGGGACGAAGATCGCGACCATCCTCTTGAGGATTGCCCGGCGGTCCACGTCGAAATGCTCCTTGATGGGCATGTCATGCAAGTCCCCGCAGAACTCCTTGGGGATGTGGGTTTCCGTGGCGCTGTGCATGGCCTGGAGCCCCGGGTGCACCTTGTCGACATCTTGCACTGTCATGATTCTCAGGCAATCCTGTGGGATTTGCATATCTGCGTAGCGACTCTGGAGAGTCGCTCGATCATCTCGGGAGATGCCTAAGAGCTGTTTCACAAAGTCTGGTCCCCCACCTTGATCTTGCCACCCAGGACGTGCTGCATGTACCAGCCGGCCAATGCTTTGGCGAAGGGCGATTTGCCTCGACCTGGAGGCCCGTAAAGCACTATGGTTCTCCTCGTCTGGATGGCGGTGGCGACGGCCTCGTCCAAGGGCACGGACTTCTTGCAGCCACTCGGCTCGTCCCAGTACCAGCACTGGCAGGTCTCGTAGTTGAAGTCCGCGATGGAAAGCGTGGACTTCGCAAGCATCGCCCTGGCCTCCTTTTCATCATCAACGGCCTTGCGGAGCTTGTTGAGGGACTCCCGCTGCTGGTAGATGTACTCCTCCTCGGTGGCCTTGCGCTTGCGAGTCCGCAGGGCCGAGTCGCCTCCGAAGCGGTCCTCCAGCTTGGCCATGTGTGACAGGTAGCCGACGGGGTCGAGGTGATCCAAGCTGCGCCGCCCGCGGGGAAAAGTCCACCGCGTCCTGGTCCTTGGCAGTGTAGTAGGCCGCCTTGTCGAAGATGCGGATGTTGCCCCGCTGCCAGAAGGCCTGGAGGATGATGGAAAACAGCTCGGCCAAGCAGTCCTTCTTCACCTTGAAGACGTTCTCGGCCCGCACCGCCACGCCCTTGTTCTTGCTCACGAGCATGAAGTTGGTCGGATCGCCCCAGCGCAGTGCGAAGGCCATCGCACCGTTCCACTCCGGCAGCGGCCCGACACCAGTGCGAGCGGGGAACTCCAGGGGATTGAAGTTCGCTGCGTCCTTCTCGTCGCGATAGAGGCACTTCCGGAAGCGATCAACGGCCTCCTGCGGGCAGTCCGGGCCGTACTTCTCAAACTCTTGCCTCGCCACCACGTGGTCCCTGTACTCCTTGAGCGGCTCACCCAGCTTCCCGTTCTCAAAGGGCTCCGGAATCGATGGCTCCTCGGCTGATTCCTGCTCCGCCGACTCGCTGCACAGTGCAACCGGCTCGCTGGGCTCTGCAACCGGCTCGCTGGGCTCTGCAACCGGCTCGCTGGGCTCTGCAACCACTGGCTCACTGCGCTCTGCAACCGGCTCGCTGAGCTGTGCAACCTTCGCCGGCTCGCTGGACTCCAACCGGCTCGCTGGGCCGTGCAACCTTCGCCGGCTCGCTGAGCTGTGCAACCGGCTCGCTGGGCCGTGCAACCTTCGCCGGCTCGCTGGGCTGTGCAACCTTGGCCGGCTCGCTGGACTCTGCAACCGGCTCGCTGGGCTGTGCAACCTTCGGCTCGCTGGGCTGTGCAACCTTCGGCTCGTTGGGCTGTGCAACATGGCCTTCACCTGCTTCATGAACTTATCCAAACTTACCCCAGGCGACGCGGCCTTCGGCTTCGGGACGCCCTTGCGGACCGCGGGCACTGCAGGAGCAGCGGAGCCCCTTCCGAAAGCTCCCACTTCAAGGACGAAGCCGGTTGCGGCCGGCTGCAGTTGCGAGGCCGGCTGTGATGGCTCCGGCTCTCCGGACTGCTTCAGCTCGGGCTGTATCGCTTGATCCAGAAGAGTCTCCAGATCACTCATCGGTTGCTGGCGAAGCGACTCCGGATCGGCGTTGCTCAGGCAGGGCTCGAAGCTCTGCAGCTCCTTGACGGCTTCGGTGGCTCGCGGGTCACTGCACTTGTCAGGGTGAATCAACCGCAACATCTGCCTATAGCAGCTCTGCGCGGATCCTGGAAAGATCCTGAATCCACATTTTTCGCCCATTCGGTGCGTTGGGCTAAGCGCGAGCTTCACAGCCAGCGCCCGAGCTTCGCTGCTCATCCTCCAGGTCTGCAACCCTTCGCCCACAGCTACGGCCGCTATGGATGCTTGCAAGCAAAATGCTACGAAACACCGACAACATGCCAACCAGCCGGCTTCAAAGAGACAGGCTTCGGACCGACTACCCTGCAGGCTGCAAGCAAAGGGAACCCGACAACCAACACTCAGCCGCGGCTTCAGATGCAAACCCCCAGGGTCCAGGCGAGAGATGAAGAGACCGCCGCAGCCCGTGGCCGTTGGCACCTGAGAGCAGCGACGAGGGGCCCGGGGTTCCCGGGACGAGGCGGGCTGCAGGGCACTCTAGTTACGGGCGAGGGGTAGGGGCAGCGGCAAGGGCACTCCTGCGCGCGCACTGCAAAGGCCGAGGACCAGGCGCAGCAGGTCGATGAAGAAGTCGAGACCTGGGCGGGGCGAAGGGGGGCCGGGGGCCCCGGATGGGCGAGGCCGCAGGGCACTCTAGTTACGGGCGAGGGGTAGGGGCAGCGGCAAGGGCACTCCTGCACTCACACTCGCGCAACACGAAACCCTTCCAACAGGTTCAGGCCTGGGCGAAGCGAAGGGCGCAAGGCGCGCTAAGTAGCGAATCCCGAACGAACGCTTGCCAGGACTCCATTTTTAGGCGAATACCACAGGAAGCTCAAAAACTCTCTCGGAACTGCCCCCCTCACTTGTCCTCCTCGGAGCGCGCCGTCAGAAGCAGAGCTCGGTCGCATCATCCGCTTCGCGCCCGTTTGGCCGGTGGCTGGCCTGCCGCGCGCGCCTGGAGCCACTCCTTCGCTGCAGCCTTGCCGCGATCCGAAGCCTCTTGCAGCCCCTCGACGTCGCCAGCACTGAGCGTCTCGATGTACTGGATGATCTCCTGCTTGCAGCTGGCGCACACATCCTCCTCATCCGGGTCGAAGGTCAATCTCTCTCCCGCGCCTCGTACGGCTCGCTTGCAGAGGCCAAAAAGCAACCGCATCAAAGAGGCTTTCTCAGCGGCCGTCAACAAACCCTCGCCAGATGCTATGGAGGACTGGGAAGCCATGCCCGGCAGAAGCAAGACTCCCTGTTCGCTCGAGCAGAAAAAATCTCTTGAAGGATGTCTTTGCTGGACTGACTCAATCGAGCTGCATGGAAAAGGCAAAGGGAAACTCCAAGCGAGAGAAATCTGAGGCTTCGGCCGCCTTGGCTGTCTGGTCACAGGGGCTACCTACGGAGCTGTTGCATAACTGTTACCTTCCTCTGGTGTAACTATTGCTTGGCTGTTGCATACGACAACACATGCCCGCCCAGACCTTGAAAGAGCGAGCGCGGCACCCGAAGCTCAATGCAGAGACGCTTGGGCGGGGGAGCCTACGGGTTAGGGACGCAGGGCACTTGCAAGGCAGACGGGGGCAAACCTACTGCTGGGGCCGAAGGGGTTCGGGTGCCCTGAACCAAACCAAAAAAGCTACCCCGGCGAAAGCACTCTAGCAAAATGTTACTGCAAAAGTCGGCGGGCCTAGCTAGAATACCACTACAAATCAAAAAAAACGCATCAGTGAGCACAGAGCGAGCATGAAAGAGCATCCTGGTGAGACTGCATCCTAAACCCCCCACGGATCAGGTCGACGGCGGCCACAGGCTCGCCGCGAATCGACACTGAGCGCACCCAGCCACGAAAACTTGAGCCAAACCTATAGGGGACGTATCCACCGAAATCGCGCTCTCGCCACAGTTTGGTGTGAAACGGCCCGGCAAAGCCTTTTGGGCCATGCGCGGGCCTTCTCGAGGCTGGCTGTGTCGCTTTTGGCCGGCGGGCCCGCCAGGGTGTGTGAAACATAGGCAGGGCGCACCCCGAAGATCGGGACAGCGGCGGTTCCGTGATGCCTGGCGATTCCGGGTGGCTGTGTTCGACCCATCCTAAACCCTCCCGGACCACGTTCCGGGGCTGGCTGGCACCGATTTGACAGGAAAGGCTCGATCCGGCCGAAATCGTGCTCAAACCCTAGGCGGAGCGCACACCGAAATCGGGCTCTCGCCGGTGTGTGGCCGGCTCGCAAAACGGCCGGCTGCCGGGGGCCGTCGGGACGCACCCTCCCCGAGCGGCTTCAAAATCCCGAAAAATTGGGGGTGCGGCATGGTGTTTTAGGGCCATGCGTGTTTGGAGTGATAAATGCTGTCAATGTAAAAAATGGATTTGGCGTGCCGGACGGCCACGGAGGAGCCGACCGAAGCCAATCTCGTGCGGCTGCTGGATCTGTGGTCGGTGGACTGGAAGCACCGGGGCCGCACTCGGGCGGTGGGGCCGGGGGCCTACGAGCGATATGCCACGCTGGGGCTTTTCGGGCACGGCGGCGTGGTCGGGGTCTCCAATGCCACGGGCCTGCGGGATGCCTGTGCAGCCGTGAACAGCTTTCTCAAGAGCCGCTTTTCGAACGGCACCTGGACCTCCATCGCCGTGCTCTTCAATCCGCGCATGGGGCTGCACCGCGACATTCAGAACATGCCGGGGCACTTGAATCATGCGCTTGCTCTGGGCGACTACACAGGAGGACGGGTGTGGATCGAAGATGACGAAGGGGACTCCACGGCGTGGCTGGCCGACAAGAAAGGGGAGCGAGAGCTGCGGGGTCGGTGGCTGGACATGCACGATGAGCCGGTGAGCTTCGATGCTCGCCGCTACATGGTGGAGCCACACGAGGGCAGCATGTGGGCGCTCGCAGCTTATGTTCCGCAAGCCTATGCTCGGGCGACGGAGCAGCACCGGCAAGCGCTGAGAGAAGCGGGCTTTCCGCTGCCTGCTTGAACCCCCAGCCAAAATAACGGGGTGGCTTCCTCATATATATATACGACTGGGGGGTTGCTCGAAGGAGTTTTTTTTTCGAATCGCGGGTCGTCGCCCAGATCCCGGACAGGTCACTTCCACGATTTCCGCGATTTCCGGGATTTCCGGTGGGGTGTTGGGAGGGCCCAAAAAGACAACATGGAAAGCGTGGAAAAGCGAAGCTCCTGGACGCCAAAACAGGGCTCGAAGAGCAGGGTTCCAAAGTGAACTCTGAACACCCTGGAAAACGTGGAAAGCGTGGAAAAATGAAGCTCCTGATCATCAAAAACGGGCTCAAGATCAGGATGTGCAAAGCACAACATGGAAAGGGGTGGAAGGGCAGCTTTTCGCTCTCTCTGGGGAGGGTGTTCCAGCGCTCCACTCTGTGATAGCTACAAGCCTTAGTTCGAGACATAGGTCAGAATTCGATACTTTGGAGCACTGTCGATTCACGGGCCTACGGCCCGCAGCTCCGACGATCTTAGGGGCTTTAAAGTCTTTGCAAAACGGGCTTTAGAGGAACTTTAGGGCGCGCAACTCGCCAGCAGCTGACGAGCACTCGCCAGCAGCTTACGAGCTACTTGCTGGCAACTTACGAGCACTCGCCAGCAACTCACGAGCTACTTGCTGGCAACTCACGAGCTACTTGCTGGCAACTTACGAGCTACTTGCTGGCAGCTCACGAGCACTTACCCGGAAAATTTCGCGATGATTTGTCGGTCAAACTGACCGACAGATCGCAACCAGTCAAGCAGATTGCTTGACAGCCCTGAAAATTCTTTCGAGCGTCCTGCGCAGGTCCTTGCCAGCGCCGTTCGGGAGCTTACGAGCTGCTTGCTAGCAACTCACAAGCACTCGCTGGCGGCTCACGAGCTTCTTGCCCACGGCCCGGAGTTTTTGCGAACGAGCTGGACCTCAGATTGAGGTCCAGCCCTGGAAATTCCTCGAGCGTCCTGGTCCTGCCAGCACGGCGTTCGGGAGCTTACGAGCTGCAGCCCAGCAGCTTACGAGCTACTTGCGCAACTTACCAGCACTCGCCAGCAGCTTACGAGCACTCGCCAGCAGCTTGCGAGCTTCGATCCCCGGATCACCACTGGTGGAATCTGCACGGCTCCAGGGCTAAGAACATTTTTTACTCGCTGCCGGGCTACATTCCACCGGTGGCGATCTGGCCTCGATCCCTGGCAGCTCCGGACGACGGCGCTGCAGCCCAGCAGCTCACAAGCTTTATGCAGGCAACTTACGAGCACTCGCCAGCAGCTCGAGCCCTTGCCGGCGCTCCCAAGCTTCTTGCTGGCAGCGCAAGAGCTTTTTCTTGCCAATCGAAATAACCGAAATTCAAGACAGTTCACCGAAAGTTTCGCCACTCGCCGGCACTCCGCCGACAGAGCCGACATCGCTCCCAAACAGCTCCAAAGCACGACGGAGCGCCTCCAAGCAGCTCGAACGACCTTTCGTGCCCTCGAGCTTCCAATGCCAAGTGCGCCTGTTTGGCAAGACACTTAAAACCTAAGATCGCGAACCCTGCGGCCTCCATCAAAATTGGTAGGCCCTCCAAGTATCGAATTCTACCTGGAAGAGTGGCTACAGCCGGCTCCAAACTTGATAGCATTCGTTCTCGTCTGCGGTGCACACCGGCTGGCAATAAGAAAATTCCAGCACAAGGCAACTGGACGGAGTCTCCACTACGTTCAACAGAGCCTCGTTGGCTCCATGAAGCAGGTGCATGGAAAGAAAGGCAGCACAACTTCAACTGCACAGCTCCGCAGGCACTCCAGTGTCCTGTGTGCAGTGGATTCAGAAAACAGAAGCTGCATCCAGCGATCTTGGAAGCTGAAGGGTCGAAGGGAGGGAGCGGGGGAAGCCAAGAGAGAAAGGCTTCTAAGGCTTCAGAAATGGAGGACGGAAGGCTTCGAAGGCTTGGAAGGGTGGGAACGAAGGCTTCGAAGGATGGAGACGAAGGGACTTCGCTTCGAAGGGTCCAAACGAACGGAGACGCTTCGAAGCCTCTAAAAACGCAATCACCTACACAAGAAAAGAAGCCACACAAAATCGTTTTGTGGTGGCTTTCGTGAAGAAAATGAAATGAGAAATTTGAAGAGAGAAGGGGAAAAGAGTTTCAAAAGCCTTCAAAGCCGAAGCCGAAGGGGCAGAGTGCCTCTTACAGGGTGCTTTTGATGTCTTTGCAAGAGTGCTCTTGCAGAGTGTGCCTTTTACGGATGCCTTTTAAAGAGGCTTTTACAGGGTGCGTTCTTCACGGATGTCTTTTCAAGAGTGTTCAAGTCACAAGACTCCACTACTGCACTGCGGTGTGTTGCTGCCGGTACAGCCAATCTATCTCACCCAGACATGAGCTGACGACCCTACAGCCGCGCTCCATGCAGCTCACTAACGTTTACTGTGAAAAACCCATTTGATCTTGGATGTTCTGATGTTTTCGGCATGCCTGAAGCTGTGAGGAGTGTTTGAGTTGGGAAGTGACTGCACGTTCGTTTCGTCTCGTTTCGTTACAGTAGTGCTTGAAGTGTTTTCAGTTAGAGCGCGACTCCGCTTTGCTCAAGAAAAAGACCGAGTGCTGCGCGCTCTGTTTTTCACATGTTAGCGGAGCTCCTGAGGACTTAGAAGGAGCTTTACAGCGCCATGGCCTCGCCCTTGCAAGGTGGGAGAGTGAGACTCCTGCTCAGAACATCCCGTGCCTGAGGAAGGCATGGACTTCGACCTGTTTGGACCAGGACCCGTGGGACCTGTAGGACCTGTGAAACAGTCCTGCTGGGTCGCCGACAGCTCAGCAAGCAGCAGCAGCTGCACCTGCGAGTGGTTCTGCAACAGTGCCAGAAGGTGTGAGTGGTCCGGCTGTAGCGCCGGTGGCTCCTGCTCAGTGTCCGGTTCCTCCGAACCCTGCGTTGGGAGGTGAACAACTGCAGCAGTTGATGTTGCAGATGCTGAACAACCAGAACACGGCTTTACAGCAACAGCAGAATCAGATGAACTTTCTGATGCAAGCTCAGAGTGCTCAGTTGACCCTCTTGAACCGCCGTTTGGACGAGGAAGAAGCCAGACGGAAAGCCGACGAGGATCGGCGAAAGGTGTCTTCGGACCCCTTTGCAGCTGCAGTGGCTGCTAGCAGTTCGGGAGCAGCGCCGACGGCGCCTACTGGGTCGCTTGTTGCCCCTCCGAGTGGGCCTGCTGCGAGTTCTGGGAGTTTTTCGAGTTTTGGTGGTCGTGCAAAGAAGTATCTG